CGTCCATAAATGACGTCACGCACCTAGGGGGGGGGGGTCAGACATTTGTGACGATGTGTGACGAGGGGGGGGGGGTTAGAAATGTGACGTCACATCAAAATGCGCAACTTTAAATAAATATAGACAACACGTTCTACTTAATTAAATATACTTTTTGATAAATGTTTTCTCCTACAACATCAGAGTGCAACGCCACATTCGCACTACAATGACAATAGTTTAAAGCGATTTGAAGCACGTTTTATTTTGGGGGGGGCAGAGCTTTGTGACGTCATATTTGAGGGGGGTCTGACTTTTTGTGACGCCGTGTGACGAAAGGGGGGGGGGGTCAAAAATCGTCCAAAATCACGTGACGTCATTTATGGACGGCCCCATGGACAGACGGACAAACCCGAATAACTATGCCTCTGTTAAAAAAACATTAAAACGGAAAATATGGCCAAAATGTTTCCCAATTTACCAAAAACCTCAGCCTCGACCTGCCCTTGTGGGTGGGGGCCCACCGACTGCATGGTTTGCCGAGGGCACCAGTTGCTGGCAAGCTCGTCAAGAGCTGCCCCCCTGGGTTGGGCACCATCATGCATTCATCATTGGTTCCGTTGCTGTCTAGGAAGGCAGTCAAATGTGAGTTGTCATTGCGGCAGGCGCTCTGCTTTATTCAGAAAACCGCCCGCTCCGGGTGACGGATCGTGTCAACAGCGACCAGGCAGAGCATTTCGGTCTTGTGCGTCGTCGTGTGGGTGCGTCATTGTCTTTCCAATGTTAGCGGTGCCCTCTGGTGGGGACTCATCGGTATGCTCGGACGTAAATAAACGACCCGCGTTAAATGAACTATTATACTAGTAACTAGTAGGAACCTCCTGGCTACACCAGCCCACAGGAGATTGTTGTGTCCGTCCGTCGTGCAGGGAGGGGCTGGGTGGGGAGGGGCTGGGTGGGGCTTGGTGGGGGGTGGGTGGGAGGGGTGGGGCTGGGTGGGGAGGGGAGCGGCTGGGTGGGGAGGGGTGGGAGGGGTGGGGCTGGGTGGGGAGGGGCTGGTCACCCCGTGGTGCCCTTATAAAACTCAACGTTTAACCTACTCACGCCGGCTTGTGCCCGCCCTCACAGTCGGGCATATTTGCGGAATACACCACGCCGCCGTTGACCCTGCAGGCCATTGACCGAACAACCCAACGTTCCTACCAGCTCCCTCCGCAGGAATGTGTTTGTTCGCCAATGTACGCGGTACATTGCAAGCCCCTTTGTAAGTGAGGGTTTCACCACGCCCTGCACCTTTGGCCGTGGGGCTTATTTGCCACACTTCACCACGTGTCTGTGGTCATCCTGAACAAACCAGACAACGTATAACGACGCAATGCCCGATCCACAGATACGAAGGGGACATCTCAGCGATGCACTCGGCTGCTCCTGACTCGGTTGTCTGGCTTTGACCGCCTAACTGAAACGGAAAAAAATTGAGTTGTCGCTCCGCATCTACATCGGCCGTACGATAAAAGAAGACTTTAAGCACGCGAGTCAGTGCGATGTTGGATTTTGCTGCACTGCCCTCTGGTGGCAACGTGTCCACGGTGATCGCCCACGGAGGGTGGCAACATTCTCGAGCTCGGTGGCTCTCAAAGTGTGGATCTCGGGACCACCAGGTGCTTCGGGACAGTCCTCCAGGTGGTCCCGCGGAACTGTGATGCAAACGCAGGGTGATTTGGAAACATACATTAATTCATATTTTACTCGTGATGTTTAATAAAAAAAAAATGAAGTGAGTTAAACTACCCTCATTAAACTACTTGACCCCTAAGATGTAAATGCACCCCCTAAAAAAAGTTATAGCTGCGTAAAAAAAAAGTATGTTCCGGTAATATGAATAACTTTGTACGCCTGGTATTTAGAGAGAAGAGATTGCGTTTTGTCACTAGGAGTGTGGGGGGGGGGGGGGTTTACGGAAACACATTCCTGCGGAGGGAGCTGGTAGGAACGTTGGGTTGCTCAGTCAATGGCCAGGGTCAACGGCGGCGTGGTGTATTCCGCAAATATGCCCGACTTTGAGGGCGGGCACAAGCCGGCGTGAGTAGGTTAAACGTTGCGTTTTATAAGGGCACCACGGGGTGACCAGCCCCTCCCCACCCAGCCCCTCCCCACCCAGCCCCTCCCCACCCTCCCCTCTCCACCCAGCCCCACCCTTCCCATTTTTGGATTCACGACGGACGGACGGACGGACACAATAATCCCCTGTGGGCTGGTGTAACCAGGAGGTTCCTACCAGTAATATTTGCATCGGCTGAGTGGTACGCGGGCCAAAAGAAGTTTGATAAACACTGCTGTCCAGCTGTGGTCTAGCACACTTCAGGCTCAACACGCTGTTTCACACATTATTGCACACAAAGTACTTGCCACAAATGAACCGCAATACCCTGCTGATTTCAAGGAGCATAAACCATCATGCGAACTCCGGTCATCCTCGCAGCGGCTTTTGGCTGGCCATCGAACAAAGACCGCATCGCGTGCTTTCGGATGCACTTCTGCGGCTGTCTGGAACGCTCTTCCTTCCGATATTACGAAGCCACTGGAGTTGTGCACTTTTAAATCTAGATTGAAAATTCATTTCTTTAGAGCTGATTTTTGTTATTAATGTGTTGTTCCTCCCCCGCCCTCCCGTTAGCATGGCTGGCTACGTACGATGCGAAAGAAGTTCACCATACATACACGACTCAAACCAGCCCTGGAGAATCTTACTTGTCATAATACCGAATCACGCCGCGTGGAGAACACAGATATGCTTATTTATTTTACATCTCATTTGTTCTGCCTCCTTTATACCAAATGTCTAGTACATACGTTATTAAATTTGTATTGTCTGTCCAGCGAATGTTGTCTTGTTGGTATTGTCTATCTCGTTTGGACAGTCTTCTTCTTAAGCTCCAGAAGCCCAAAATATACTTTGTATTAAATGTTATTTGCATAGATCGTAAATGGTCGATTATGACGGCCTCGATTCTATGCTTTTACACCACAGGGTTGTCACGATATGTCGATACTACTACGATAAATCGTTCATTAGCTGTCCGAGGTACACATTCTGCTATTTGGAGGATCGTCAGATGGCGGCAGATTGGGGAGGCCTTCATCCAACAGTGGATTGACCATGGTTGATAATTATATACCTACCATGCAGGCGACTGCACATTGTTACGCCATGCCCAGTAAATTACAGAGCCTCTTCGCTATAACCCGTACCTCATGTGGTTTCTGTAATTCTCTGCCAAGAAATAATTTGCCTTTACTATGTTCTTTTGTCAATTGACGTAACTCCCCGGATCTGCTGGCAGCTTTTTCCAACTGCACAAAGGCTGAAACGCTGGACGATTACACATGCAGCGCCTTTAAAAGTTAGTATATTTCCCCAGTTATGCGCCATGTGATTGAACACGACATCTCGATCGTAAACTGCCATGTGGTTGCTTGGTGAGCAGGTGCTATCACAAGGGGAAATGTACTAAAATAATGAGCCTGCATCTGTTGCCGAACGTGCTCATCGTCCCAATGAAGCGCTGCGACCTCTACGGCAATACGATTTGCCGGGGGGTTGCGACGCATCGGGGGAACTTCAACCGAGTATCTCTCCAAGACTCGCATCGCAGAACACAGCTGTACCGACCGAGCTGAGAAAAGCCATCGCTCACCCACTGCATAACATGCACCCCAACTGAGGGACACAGTCCCAACGCAACGGAACAACGTTTGTGCATCTGCTAATGTGGAGACGAGGGTATGTGGATCACACAAATGTTGCGAAACTCCCTTTTTGTGGATGTCGAGATACCATAAACCTGGCTTGCCAGAAGGCAGTACAGCAACATGTGGGCTAATGTCCATCGTGTGTGGGAGACAATGTTGCCCCCCTCAGGCGTGTGGGTCTTCTCCAGGTGCTTCAGTTTCCTCCTACATGTATAGTCATTAATTGACTGAAAATATTAATATACATAGAGGACCATAGATCTTGGGGAATTGTTGGCTCCGGCTCAACGCGTGGCTGCTTTCCAGCTTGTTTGCGATTCCTGACACCTGAGTCGTTCTCTCTCGTCGAGAATGAGCAAATACTGTTACAAGTTTAAATTATGATTACGATCAGCCAGGCAACTTTACCTGCAAAACAATACCACAGCTTGGAAACGATTGTGCATCTGCTATTGCACTTTGTCTACCGCTGCATCACTGCCTTCTCCCTCACCACTCTACCCTGAGCAAATGGATAGGCGGCCGGCCGTTCATGTTCGACCAGGCTGTGTGCTAGTCAGAGGTGTAAATCTTGTACTTGGTCCTCATGCACTTCTAGACTACCAGCCGTGCTGGTCAGAACTCCTCTTACAATGGGGTGATGTGCTGCTTTACAATGCATGCCCACGAGGGGTGTTACTCATGCAGTATTTGGGCTAATCCCTTATATCCAGAATTATAATTTGTATTTAGATTGGGGAAATCCGATGAGCTATGAAGCTCTTTTTCACAGATGTCCAGGTTTTCACAGGGTTTGACAGATGTCCAGTAGGCCAAGGTATAAAGGTTCAGATGATTGAAAAAATGTTTCGGATTAATCCTAAAATGTGCTACCACTTCCGTGCTTTTCCATTCACATGTAATCACCTTGGTAAAAAAAAAATATTTACATATCATTAATTTGTTTACTGATGCGAATTTATGGAAGAAAATAAAATGGTTACAATTAAAAATTTACAAAATTTAATGTAGTGCATAAAAAATGAAAAGACTTAGTATGTGTTACAAATTTAATCTGAAAATATAAAAATCCAAATTTAGGAAAAATCTGAAAATCGAATAACCAAAACGTATCCCCAATGTATAAAGTATTCCAGTACAGTACTGTACTATGGTAGGATTGGCATTTCATTGTTTTGAATTATGCTGCCACCTTGTGGAAAACACCTGCCATTTAAAACCACAGTAACATTCCCAAAATGTGCAGAAGTGACAAAAGAAACTTCATAAAAAATATGACCAAATTATTTTAATTTTACAAATAAGTTTCACATTTTTTCATAAAAGCAATGTTGAATTTGAAAAAGAACACTTTGTGAAAACAATGATTTACAAGTACAGTACATAATTGGATATAGTGACTTCAAATTTTGACTTTAAACTTTCGAGACTGCAGGAATTCATATTCTTTGGTTCTTTCGGTAAAGTCACGTAGATCGAAAAAAATAATAAATTGAATGAAAATAATAAAAAATAAAATAAAAACCACGACGTTTCCATCGCAACACAAGCAGTCGTGATGACGCCCGGTCGTGATGACGACCGCTTGTGTTGCAATCGAAACGTCATGGTTTTTGTTTTCATTTAATTTGTATTCACTTTATTTTTTATAATTTCTCTATCTACGTGACTTTACCGAAACAACCAAAGAATAAGTAACTTCAAACATACAAGTTTTTTTTTTTTTGCGAAGAAAATTTTACGGTACATTACAGAGTCTTCAAATATTAATTTGGTGAATGCTAACCTTCACCCACATTATAACAAATTAATGTGTTAATAAAGCTATCTTTTATAGTACAACTGTTTTTTTCCCCAGCATAAAACTGTTAACTTGCCAGATGTGAAGACAACCACAAAACTGTTCGCTACAACTGCACGAGGGCCAATGGGCCAGAGGGACCCAGGCGCTGGGCTACAATGAGAGGAAAATTGGACAAGGGGCTCAATTTAATTCCTTGTACCATGGCCCATGCCAACCATGCTATGCCACTGATTTACTCTATGTACCCAAAGTTGGAAATGTCACGAAAGTAAACAAATGTTATCTTGTAAATTACTGTTGGGTTCATGTTATATATTGCAAGGTTAAAATATTGAGAAGTATATTAAGTGCACCATTCAAATCAAGTTTTTCCACTTTCCATTGTAACAATGAGCAACTGATTGCAACACAGAAACATCTCACTGTAGCTGACATTTTCACAATTTCAGCATCTGTTCTGAAGCAGCCAAATGAAATAGGAAGTTTTCTGTTGCTGGTGGAAATCGGCGTTCCCGCAGTGCCTCCATGGTTATCCTTGGCTTTCCACCTTCATCAGTTGGGGCAGCTAGTGATGTCAGATGAGCCAGAAGTTCCTTTGTTTTTTGTGCAATTTCCTAAGGATAAATAAAACAATTAAAGTAGTGTTGTTAAAATTTAGATTTAAAGCTTTCGTGACTGCAGGGATTCATATTCTTAGTTCTTTTGGTAAAGTCACGTAGAAGGGAAATAATAAAATAAAAATATAAAACAATAAAAATTCTCACGACGTTTCGACTGCAACACAAGCACGTCGTGAGAATTTATATTGTTTATTATTTTTATTATTTTATTATTTCCCTTCTACGTGACTTTACCGAAAGAACCAAGAATATAGTCACCATGGGAACCTCATTTGCCAGTAAAAATATAATTGTTTTTTTATCCTTCTATCTGGCAACAAAACTGACACCTTTTTACAAGGAGTCATGTTTGCATAGACCGCAATACCTGCAGTCATAATACAAACAAAAGACATAACTCTGATAATGTGCACTGTCCTTGAAGTTGATTGGTCCACACCCGAGACAGGGAAAGCTGTCTCGGGTGTGGACCAATCAACTTCAAGGGAAAGCTGTCTCGGGTGTGGACCAATCAACTTCAAGGACAGTGCACATTATCAGAGTTATGTCTTTTCTTTGTATGACTGCAGGTATTGCGGTCTATGCAAACATGACTCATTGTAAAAAGGTGTCAGTTTTGTTGCCAGATAGAAGGGTAAAAAACCAATTATCAAGAATATAGTGTTGTTTACTTTTGGCATGTAGATGTATATACACATCAACGTATGAAACTGATCATATTATTTTGTTAAAATTATTGCGGAGCATAGGCCCGAAGACTCAAGAAGCCAGCAACAAACAGCACTATAGCAATATAAAAAAGAGCATTTGTTTAATGTTGGCAACACTGACTGGTGTATGATTAATCCATGTGTGCATGCACATTTAAATCCCTGTCCTCATTTTGAATATTTAAAACATTATTTTATTAATATTTGAAATAAGTCATGAATTACAACATATGTAATAACTTTTTTCCAAAAGACGTTGAATATATAATGTGTACACCATATTTGAGGCAAGTAGCCATTGCCACAAACAAAACCACTCTGAATTATTTCTCATTTGGGAGTTTTAGGAAATGTATAATCACGTTTTACTTCATACGATGTCTTGTGATACTCACATTTGTCCATAAAACTACACTTTTAACAGTAACTAGCTTTTTTGCCTATCCAAGGACGGGTGTATATTGCAGTAAATATGAAATATCCAATAGAAAAATTGTTCAGCTCATGATTATTAATTAAGGGGGGGGTTTCGCCATGTGGAGTGACGTCGCCCATTAATGGATATTGTGGAGGGGTTTGGCATGTGGAGTGACTTCACCAGCTCATGATTATTAATGAGGGGAGGGGTCCGGCATGTGGAGTGCGCGACCTTCTTGTGCGTTAGTCTAAATTTCCACGCGGGCATGAATATTAATGAAGGGGGGAGGCCTCTTTTGCAGTGACGTCACGCACAGATGTAGCACTGTGCTGCGTAAATTTATTTTTTACCGTCACTTTCTGTAAAGAAACGTCATATTTGCAGCTACTTTGCATATTAAATTATTTAATTCGGCTCCACCTTCCTCTGCGTTAGTGTAAAAATCCACCCACTCATGAATATTAATGAGGGGGGTGGGCCTCATGTGGTGTGACATCACGCAGGGGTGGGCCTCATGTGGAGTGACGTCACACGCAGGACACACACCAGAGGTCGCACACGGGCTTTGATTCCTTACCCGTACCCGGCCGCATCAGGGTACAAAACGGGTATCCGTACCCGTACCCAGCCGGGTACGGGTAGCCGGGTATCGGGTAGGGTACGGGTATCGGGTACCCGGTTGCGACCTCTGAGACACACACACATTCTTGGCTCATATTCGTAATGATCAAAACATCGCCGATCACATATTGTTTCCTCTTTAGGGAAGTGTTATTGACAATATACCATTAACCATGACACCTATATTGATGAATTACAAAACTCACACATCTATGATTCAAGAGGTTTTAAGGAGCAGCTAGTTAGTCCCAAGCATACCTTCACTACTTGTGCATCAGATTTTTCTGGGTCTTCTGCAGACTGCACGATAAGCAGCCCAATGTCTTTGTGCAGCTTTCCCATTGCCATGGATTCTGAAATTACAAAAAGATATCAGAGTTAATTTATCACCAACAAATATGAAAACGTTTACATAATGTATCATGTTACAAAAGCCACACATCACCTCTGGCATGTTGTTCCACCAATATCTCAGTCTCTGGAAGATTGATGAAAACATCAAATAGTTCTGTCCGGTTCTCAATCTCCACCTCCAGAAACCCTGCCACATACCCTGTAAAAACACAATTGTTTTCCACAATTTATCTCGCTACAATATTTATTATTTATTACGGTTAAAATAATTAAGTATTTATAAAATATCAACAAATATGCACACCTGGACACATTTTAAGAGCTTGTAGCTCATCTTCCTGCAAGTGAACACATGGGTAGAGAATGGACCAGTCTTGTCTGTGCCAAACCAAAGTTGGCAGTGTTCTGAGAAAACAACACAGAATAGGTCACAAACATCTTTTCAAGGCACAGACCTCTTTCTCAGCTTAAATCTTAATGAGGTCAGTGAAGGTCCCATAAAGTATGGTGTGCCTAAAGGGTAGAAAACTTTACTTATTGTTTACAGCACCTGGTAAATTCCTGCAGCACTTGAAGCTGAGGGTGGTAAACAGCCACACGCTTCCGAAGCATCAGTGCGGTGTAGATAATGATTGTTTCCAACCCAAACTGCCGCACCACCTCTAGTGAAACATGAAAGACTTAATTAATGCAGATAAATCATGAAACATTTTATAGGACCAGTCCACTCAACATTGGTGAAATAGATATGTATCTGGGGAATGCTTTAAGGAGCAAGATTAATTACGTAATGTCACAAACATAAATCACATTAAAAATTTGCTTTATCGGGTACACACATACCCTTAATTGATCCTGCTAAATACGTCTTTTTGGCCTGGTAATCCTGAACCAGGAAAGATCCATTCTCCTCCGTTTGACACAATCCTTTGGTAATCACAGAGAGGTATGCTTCCATCATGCTGGCAGGGCTACCATATTTGCAATATAACCTGAAAAATAAAAGGATATTATTTAAATGATATATATATTTGGACATACACACACACATACAGCTAAACTTTAGAAATGTGTTGAATTTCAAGGTGGCAAAGTGAATCAGGGTAATAAGCAATGATTGCTGATCCCAGCTGCCACCTGCTTAAAATTAGTTCTCTGTTCTTGGTTTTTTCGGTAAAGTCACGTAGAAGGAATATAATCTTATTATGTTTTATTTTTATTATTTTATTATTTCCCTTCTACATGACTTTACCAAAAGAACCAAGAACATGAATCCACGCAGTCACCAAAGCTTTAAATCGAAATTTGATGGTCTCTGTCCATTAATTCGATAAAATAACAGCTCTTAAAATTAAAAATACAACAAAGATTATGCTGAAGCGGGGACAGGAGGGAAGGTGTTGCCCCCTAGTGTAAATGTCGATAAGAGGTCACTTGAAGGAACCTCAGGTAGTTTGTAACATTTGGTTGGGTGATCCATTCTCTAAGACGGGAGGAGGGGGGAGAAGATGTAATTGCTTTACAAAGAGTTCCAAATAGATTGTTTATCTCATGGCATGATGTCAATAGCATAATCATGATGAAATTTGGAAATAATACAATATATTTTAAATAAAATATGACGTTGCAATATTACTTGCCTGCTGAGAATACGACTCAAAGCAGCGTACTTTTCTGGGTTAAAGTCTTTGGAGGTGAGCACAAGGCTGTACTGTCGAACCTGTTGAGTGAAAAATAACAGTGTCTTCCAATGAAATGCTTAAACTGTTTTCATTTTAGTAACAGCAGTCTTAAAGAATGCTCTACGAACACATTGCCTGCAATGACAACAGTGTGACATGTTTACTGGCCAAGTGATATATAGCGACATTAAACCTTATTGCACTGCAGTGAAAGAAAAATATTTTTACTGCATTGTCAAAAGAGAAAAACGAGACTAAACAACCAAAAGTAGAGGCAATTTGTTTCACAAAATAGGTCCATTTACACATACAAACTCTGGAAACGTGCTCATCTAACAATTTACTGTACAAATCATATTATGGAAAATTGTAATATTCTCCTGAGCAATGATGAGAAAATGTTTTTAACCATTTTGTCATCTTGATTATGGCCGTACTTTGTTCATAGTTTGCATGGTACGCATCTTTACATGTAGTGTTGGTTAAAAAACAGGGTCCACAGACGTACCTTGGGCAGAACGTCTGGGATTGTGACATCTCCAGAGGTGATGTAGTACCAAACGCGGCGGTGTTGGCCAAATATAAAAGGGTCGCGTATCTTCCCGTCTGCCGAGAGTGGACATTTCCTAAGAAGCAATGTTCGGAGTTCGCTGCTCACAGACGGGAAACACCACACCCAGAGAACATCTCCGCTGCGGTCCTTTTCTGCACGTGACAAAAGAGAATACATACTCAACATGTGCTACATTTAGTCAGCAAAATGTTACGATTTCATTCTGCACGAGTTCGGTTCAACGTGTTACATTATTAACTTTTTTTATAGAGTTTCAATGACATTCTTGATCTGAAACAAGATAATCTGCAGTTGAGAACATTCAACAGACATTGTAGAATTTACTACTATGAGCCACGAATGTCTGTTTCGCGCGTGACGTCACTCCACGTCTACCAGCCCCCTCATTAATAATCATGAACAGATGACCTCCTCCAAGTGGACACCCCCCCCGCCATTAATAATAATTAGCGGGTGACGTCACTCCACATGAGGGGGCGAGGCGCCTCCTTCCCCCTCCTCAGCGTCAACTCACAACCCTCACTATGAAGGCAGAACCCTCACGTCACGCGATCTCCGTAACGCTGTTGAGACATCGAAGTAAAAAGGACGTCATGATGAATAAGGGATTATAACCTTAAAATGAAATTGGTCTGTGTCACCGCTGCCTTATAAATTGCGCACTAATTGATGCAATGAATATCACGTCGCGGTCTGCTTTTCGCTTGCAAGTTTCAGATTTACTGCAATACACCCGTCGTCCTTGGACGGGCAAAAGGCTCGTGGCATAGATTTAGAGAGTTTTAAGTCTCAGCTTGAGTCCTCCAACATCCATACATTGGCCAGTACTGAATACGATGATTTGTGTAATTAGAAATTACTCCTCTCCTGCCTCTTCAGCAGCACATTTTTGGCTGCGCTTAAATCCAATTATATTGCACGTTCACGAATTACACTAGTCTATACCCAAAATGCTTCCAAAATAAATGTATGAGAATAGGTTTTCCCCTTTTGTTTGGCAACAAAACAGGTGTTAAGATGTTAAAACACCAAACTGAAACCTTTTGCAAGGAATCATATCTGCATTTACCACATAAACTTGCGGTCAAAATGCAAACAAAAAAACATACTCTGATAGTATATGCATTGACTTTCAAACTGATTGGTCCACACCAGAGACAGCTTTCTTTTAGACTGTCTCAATGGGCAATTTCTATAACGTGGTACAATGCAGTTCAATTCAACTTGCCACTGCATTGTATCGGCAGGCTTGATTCTGCTGGTGAAACCCTAAAAAATTAAACCGGTCTATAGTCTGTGCTTGATTAAACCCTTCTGGATAAACATTGGTCCAAGAAAGCCTGTAGACTGATCATACTAAAATGCTTTTTTTTCTATATATGTTAAATCACAATCGTCCCTTCGCACCGTTTCAAAGTCAGCGGGCAAAACAGAAGGCTGGACCACTGACACATGAACGGACGTAAATGAACGCTAAATCACTGTCAAAATTAAACAACATGCTATGACAAAATCACACGAAATGCGCCCGATCCTTTCCAACATCAGCTTTGCTAAATTGAGCCTGGATCGTGCTTGTTGTTTGTGTTACCACCAGAAATAAAACACGTGTAGCAGGCGTAAACTGCAGTAGAGGGCACAGATCGTTCGACACTTATCTAGGCCTCCTCACCAAGCCACACCGACCGGAGAGGCAAAGTATTATGGTCAAATAACCCTCATCGCCCGTATGTCCTGGAGAAGCCCTCTTCGGGATGCACTTGTGCATGTTCATATACCAAAGTCAGTGATGTCACACTCAAACAAGCAGCACGTCCCTGACTTCCTACATACAGCCCTAAGCCTGCAGGAGCTATTCGACATTCCCATGACGGAGGGGGTATTTATCATCAAAACTGATAACGATAACACAACACAACCAGTGCCTTTTGCCACAAAATGGTACAAATTTTATCCAACCCGGCCAAAGTGCTCAATTGAAGAGGGGGGGGGGGGAGGGGGGTTCCTGCTGGTTTGTGTGCCTGCATGCTCTCACCACTTGCACCACAGCATATCGTTATGAGCAACAACACTAATTGTAACAACAACAACAACAACTATGATAAAGGCAATGACTTGAATTAAATGAATAAACGGCACCGACCAATGAGCCCCGCCGACAGCACCAGCTGCACTTCCGACACCGCCATTGCACGTGACTGGCGGGGCGGGGCGAGAAGGGGAGGGGCGATAAGGGGCGGGGCGAGAAGGGGAGGGGCGGGGCGAGAAGGGGAGGGGCGGGAAGGGGAGGGGCGATAAGGGGCGAGGCGAGTAGGGGAGGGGCGGGAAGGGGCGGGAAGGGGCGGGGCGAGAAGGGGAGGGGCGGGAAGGGGAGGGGCGATAAGGGGCGAGAAGGGGCGGGGCGGGCGGGAAGGGGAGGGGCGGGGAGGGGCGGGGCGGGGAGAGGAGGGGCGGGAAGGGGAGGGGCGGGAAGGGGAGGGGCGATAAGGGGCGAGAAGGGGCGGGGGCGGAAGGGGAGGGGCGGGGAGGGGCGGGCGGGAGGGGAGGGGCGGGAAGGGGAGGGGCGGGAAGGGGAGGGGCGATAAGGGGCGAGAAGGGGCGGGGCGGAAAGGGGAGGGGCGGGGAGGGGCGGGAAGGGGAGGGGCGGGAAGGGGAGGGGCGGGAAGGGGAGGGGCGGGAAGGGGAGGGGCGGGAAGGGGAGGGGCGGGAAGGGGAGGGGCGGGAAGGGGAGGGGCGGGAAGGGGAGGGGCGGGAAGGGGAGGGGCGGGAAGGGGAAGGGCGGGAAGGGGAGGGGCCGGGCGGCCCTAACCCCTCACCACGTGACCCCCATAACCCTTTATCTCTCCCCCCCCCACACACCGACCCCCAAATTTTTTTTTTAAAAATTAATTTTTCACAAAACAACTTCAGCAAACTACTTCAAAAACCAAGGCGCTTCAAGTGACCGTATTGAATATAAAAAATAAAAATGTTAAATGGAACCCCCCTCGTATCGAGGGCGCGTCACGTGGTGCGAGCGCCGCGCCATCTTGAGACCGCCGCTGCCCTCGCGTCTCGCCGCCGCCGCCGCCTCCTCCGCCCGCGATCGTCCTGCGCTCGCTTCCCCGCATTAAAGCCGCGCTCGTCGATGTCTGTTCGCTACCGCACGTGGTGACAAGCCGACATCAGCAAACATGCCGGTGTATTTTCAAAGGCCGGAGAATGCCCTCAAGCGGGCCAACGGTGAGGAGGAGGATGCGGTGGCGGCATCGTGGTCTAGCTTAGGCTGCGGCCTGGCTTCTCCCACCCCCCTCCCTCCCTCCTCTCCACTCCTCTTCATCACCACATTTCCCCTTCGCTCGCTTTCGAGCGCAACAAGATGCGCTGTTTTTTTTATTCGGACGCGTTTAATTTGCACGCACATACCCTTTAAGTGCAACGTTTTAAAGGGATCGCCAGACTCGGGAGTCTGAAGGCTCCGGCCTGTGGTTCCCTCCACTCGCCGCCCATCCCCCTCGCTCACCTTTCCCTCTGTCTCTCAAAAGATGAACTGCTGATTTACTTTATACGCGCGAGAAACGTACGTAACAATGTTTAAATGATCCCCCCCCAGCCTTCGGGTGGTTTGTGCATGCAGCAAGCGGTGTCCGCGTGTTCCATATGGGAGCAGTGAAAGTGCCCCCTTGTTCCCTTTGCTGGCAGCCACGTTCACTCCGTGGCGTGAAATGAAAACCTTTGCAATGTGAACAGCAGTCAAGAGACTTGACGTGTAGGCGGTGTTGCTTGTGCCATGTCAATCATTCCTAGTAGCGTATATACTGGACGTTACCCGTTACTATGGCCGGGCGCGAGTAAATCCGTCGTGTAATCATTGATTTGCCACAAATTGGTAATGGTGCAATCCTGAAAAAAATACTAAACAGCGTGAAATGCAACGGCATTTAAAAATACTGTATAGAAACGGTATGAATGTCTTTGAGGCGTTTTACCATAGGTGCGAATTCGAGACATTGGTGACAGCAGATGAAAATGATCAATCCCGGAATAAAGGGCTTCTCTAATTCACGTGATTTAAATAAGTAGGCGTCGGTAGGATAAAACATGACCAAAGAATGTTATTGTTTGGGTGCGTTCATCTAGCGATGCCATGGATTAGAAACATTTGACACTGAAAAGTATCACATGGAGCAAAAGGCAGGATTCGTAAAGCTTGTCGAAATGATGTATTGTACAACTCATGGCCAATCCACTGCTGGATGAAGGCCTAACTACGCCGTCTCGGTACTAGGTTTGACCATACTTGACGATAATTTGTGCAGGTTGGTGAAGGGAGGAGGTAGCCAAGCCCGTTTATTAAACTGATTATATGGAATCGAGCAAGGGTTCTTAGTTGACTGCATTATCCGCCATTGCCGCGCCACCCCACGCGCACATGGAACCACAATGAGAGTTAATGAAACACGTGGGTCAAAAGGCATACAACTAGGGGAGTCTTCCAATTAGCACGGTTGGCTACGTACGGTGCGAAAGAAGTTTAACGTACAAGTTGGGCTTGTGCAGTACTGTACAGATTGCTAAGAGGGATTATGCACAAACTGGTCATGGAATGGCAGCCAAAGGGAAAAGACTACGCCTGATAACAAACATTGTGAACATGGCTCATGCAGGAGTTGGATTGTGACATCTCTGGACCATAAGGGATGGTAATAACGTGGGAAGGTTATCCAGCGGTGGATAGATCATGACTGTTCTTAACAGGGTGGAGAGCCCTTGATTCAATAGTGGCTAAACTATAGTTGTTGGTGCTCCCCAACATCTGGGTGTTTGTGTTGCCCATCTTTCCACGGTGTCCAGACTTAACGGTTATAAAAATTGCACAACCAACCATGGCAGTTGATTGTGAATCGAGTGCCATATGCAATGATTGACATTTTTGGACCATCTTAATACTTTTGAGCTGAAATTGTTTTACTGTTTGCAAAACCGTTTTGTGCTCACACCTTGATGTAATGTTGATTTTTATAGCAATGGTATTGGTGAGTTAAGCCTGCTACATTATTTGGTGGTCATATGTACATTTAAACCTACACTTTACATACCAATTATTGACAACTTAACTCGGTGTTGTATTACTCTGTTGGTACATTCACAAATCATGGTACAAATCAAATATTTGTGTGTCATTTTCCTTTTACTGCTGTACAGAGTTTTTGGAGGTGGGAAAGAGGCAGCCTGCTTTAGATGTCCTGTATGATGTGATAAAGAGCAAAAAGCATCGAACATGGCAAAAGATCCACGAGCCCATCATGCTGAAGTACCTGGAGTTGTGTGTGGACCTGCGCAAGAGTCACCTGGCCAAAGAGGGACTCTACCAGTACAAGAACATCTGTCAGCAGGTATAAAAAAAAAGCATTCGAATAAATGTTTAATCATGCATGACACAGTGTAGGTTTACCATATATTAAACCGATATTTCCATATTTTATCGATGTAGGTTAACATCAAGTCTCTGGAGGATGTGGTGAGAGCATATCTAAAGTTGGCAGAAGAGAAGACTGAAGCTGCAAAGGAGGAATCTCAGCAGATGGTGCTGGATATTGAAGATCTTGATCAGATTCAAACCCCCGAAAGGTACCTTATTCAATATTCGCATGATAAGACCTGTGCAGAATTGTAATGCTTTTCCTTGCAAGTGAATATAAATTTTAAGGAAGAAAGAAATGCATATTTTTTAATATAACCCCTCTAAAGAGCTTTTGGTCAAACACTTGAGTAAATATTGCGTGTGTGGTGCAGCGTTTTGTTGAGTGCTGTCAGTGGTGAAGACACCCAAGATCGAACGGATCGTCTCCTGCTTACGCCATGGGTCAAGTTTCTGTGGGAATCGTACCGCCAGTGCCTGGATCTCTTGCGAAACAACTCGCGCGTGGAACGTCTCTACCAGGACATTGCCCAACAGGGTATTTTGATTAACTTGACTTTTTATGCAAACGGCAAGATACCTGTAAAATAACTGTTGAAATCACGTTTGTAGTACTTGCCAACATAAATTAATGTTGATCTTGTTTCCTTATCTAATCAGCTTTCAGATTCTGCCTGCAGTACACACGAAAAGCAGAATTCCGTAAGTTATGCGACAACTTGCGTATGCACCTCAGCCAGATTCAGCGCCACCATAACCAGAGCACAGCCATCAATCTGAACAACCCGGAGAGCCAGGCCATGCACCTGGAGACAAGGCTGGTGCAGCTGGATAGTGCCATCAGCATGGAGCTGTGGCAGGTATGCTAATATCTGTATTTTTCCCAGTGCAAGATGAATAACATTGATGTTTACATTTGTTTTGAAGTACCACAGATAACATTTTTGCCAGTATTACAATATGTATAATTTCATTGTATTGTCTTGTCTTGATTATGCAGGAAGCATTTAAGGCCGTTGAAGATATCCATGGGCTCTTCTCACTGTCCAAGAAACCCCCGAAGCCCCAACTAATGGCCAACTATTACCAGAAAGTTTCTATGGTGTTCTGGAAGTCTGGCAATGCTCTCTTTCATGCTTGCACACTCCACCGTCTTTTTCATCTCTCCCGTGAGATGCGAAAGAATCTCACTCAAGACGAAATGCAAAGGTCAGGCATCAAACATATAAATATATTTACCAAGTTATTAGCAATGCAGTATATTTTTTAGTTGGTGCCATTAAACCATGTTTGCCATGTTCGTTATTCCCAACAGAATGGCCACCCGTGTGCTGCTAGCCACACTCTCCATTCCTCTTACTCCCGAGCGCACAGACATTGCTCGCCTGTTAGACATGGATGGGATCATCGTTGAAAAGCAGCGTCGCCTTTCAAGTCTATTGGGACTTCAGAGTCCTCCCACTCGTCAGTCCCTCATTAATGACATGGTATGCAACATACCACCCACCCGTACGACCTACATGTGCAACCCTCTTGTCAATTACCTGTGAATTTAATCCCCCCCCCCCCCACACACTTCTGAGGATCATGAGTGTTACGACTATTTCTTAGCATGCTGACCAATGCAGGATTTTGAAGGCAGGGGAGCTTAGAAGTATAGTACAATAAAATATTTTTTCAGCTATCTTCTGCTGACCACCACATAGATCTGCAGCCACTTATGACAACCCTGGTGTGTGCATGGTGGTCACCCTTCCAAGCACTATCGAGTCGCAATCAAACCTGCTCAGCTTTCAAAATATGAAACTGGGTACATGTCGGGTAATTTTGTCATACGCTGTACATGTGCATTGCAAATAAGTTAAGAACTTGATCATATTTATTGTTTTTTATATATGTTGGCATTTACCCTGGCATATGCACATTTTATTCTCATGCTCTTAGTACTCTTGGGAGCCATGATATATCTTTTGTGCAAGATCAATAACGTTGGTAAATTAACAGCCTAGCTTTGTTCACTAGCTAGAGCTGTCAGTCACCTTCGGATAGTATTTAGTAATTTTATTGTCATCATGAGAGGACTTTAACATAGTAAAGATGGTGCTTTCAATTCAGATGGAAAGTGATGAAATGGTGCATTTACATAATTATCTTAATGTTCTATGTTAATGTTCTTCCGCAGGTGCGATTCAATGTGATTCAGTACGTTGTGCCAGAAGTGAAAGACTTGTACAACTGGTTGGAGGTTGACTTTCACCCGCTGAAACTATCTGGGCGTGTCACAAAGGTTTGACAGCTTGATTTTTTTAATCCTTTATATTAAGTTCACTTGTGCGCTTACGACCGTGCAAATCTTTCGGTCGTTTTTTAACCCACTTCCCGTGATCCAATCGAGCTGACATTTTCCACACAGACTCGTGCGTGACAATTAATTTTCGTGAATTTTTTTCCAAAATTTTACACTTTTTAGGAAAAAAAATGTATATGTAATTACCAATTGCTTAATGGTGGCAGGCAATCATCTGACCCATAGGTGGCAGCCATCTCAAGCCAGAGGACGAGAGGACTCTAGCCGCCACGCATATAAAGGATTTATAGTGAAAAACTTTGTTTTTATGGGTTAATTTTTTACAGTCAAAAACATACCCTAGCATAGCATGTATATACACTCTCAAATACGATCAAAAGAGTTCCAAACACGTGTTATTTTAGGTCAATTTTACATTTCTGTGTTTCTCTTATTTTACAAATGATAAACACCTTACAAACTATACTCTACACAATAAATTTTGCTTCACAGTAATAGCACATATCATTGTCCTGCTCCCTCAATGTGGGAGTAGCGATATTTCTAATGTGCTAGAGAAAATTTGTTGGTTAATTAACAGCTTGGTTAATTTTTTATGATCAATGCTGTCAGTCACCTTCATACACTTCCCACATTTACAAGAAAAATATTGAAAACCATACCAATATATTAAAATGAAATTCAGGGTTTCAGATTTAATTGAGGGATAAATCGGTTTTTTTCCTGACCATATTTTTTAGAATTATTATTTTCTTGATGGTTTCCTCATTTCATTAGTAAAACTCCCTAACAGCATATCGTTTGCATAGTAGCAAGTAACAATATTAAACATTTAAATGCACATGTTTTTTCAAAATCCATCTTAATGAGTTGCATGCCTTGTGTTCATACAATTTGTCATGTTTGTATTTAAAGGTGCTAAACTGGCTTAAAGATCAGTCGGATAAAGAACAAGAACTGCAGCATTATGTCAATCTCCTTCAAAACAACACGATCCTCCGCTTACTCCAGCAGGTTGGTTGTCAAAGAACTGCTACATGTTAACTTAGGAACCGTTTATAAAATGTAGTTATTGATACAAGTTCTTTTGGTCTTTCGGTAAAGTCACGTAGATAGGTTCAAATGAATAAAAATAAACAAAAAACTACGACGTTTCGATCACAGGCGGTCGTCATCAGGAGGCTTTCTTTCTTCTGATGACGATCACTTGTGTTATGATCGAAACGTCGTCGTTTTTTGTTTCGTTTTTATTAATTTGAACCTATGTATGTGACTTTCCCGAAAGACCCAAAGAATATGAATTCCTGCAGTCACGAATGCTTTAAGTCAAGATTTATTGATACAAGCTTAACGTTTGCTATTCTTGCAGGTGGCCCAAGTGTATCAGGGCATTGAGTTCAGTCGGCTGGCATCTCTTGTGCCCTTCATTGACCCTTTTTCACTTGAGAGAATCATCGTTGATGCTGCCCGCCACTGTGATCTGCAGGTAAATATTTTCACCACACGATTGAACAATTGCTTGAACAATGTAGATGTGTGGAAAGAGGCTAATGGGTCTAATTCTCGTAATCACTCTCCCTTTAAGAACAGAAGAATGAGGCATTTCATGATTTGAGCTATTTAAGTAGTGTATCATTTTTTATAAATGTTTCTGAATTTGAACTTATACTAATACTTTTTTATTTTACTAAACTTTTTTATTTAGCAGGTAAGGCCTCTGGCCGCCTCATTTTTGCTCAGGCCTTCTGAAAGGCTCTTATAATTTAGTTGACGGCAAACAAAACGCCGGGCTTTTATAATAGAAGTGATCTGGCCACAAATGATAGCTGAACTAAGTGTCTTATGTGGAAATTTATAGCAGCCAAATACTCTAAACGCACATTTCTAAATGTGGAGGGAAAAACGGAGGACTTGGATAAAAATCCACGCAACCACGGGTAGAAAATGCAAACTCCAAATGCATAGACTTCAGGGTCTGGAACGAACTGACGTCTTCCTGTATACAAGGCGAGGTAGTTAACACCTCTCTACTTTGGCACCCAACCAACAGCAGCCACAGTTATCCCTTCTGGTCTGGCAACATTGCCATTTTTCCTGCTGCTTAAAGTGTGGCATATGGAACTTCCTCATATATATGGTAAGGTTTTATCCAGAAGATGATTTATATTGGCTGTTGGTATGCGTGGTTTGCTACTCTTAGGTGCGCTTGGACCACAGTAAACGAACACTGAGCTTCGGATCGGACCTCAACTACTCTCCAAGAGATGATGCCCCCACAGGCCCATACCTGCAGCCCATGCCATCGGACCAGATTCGAAATCAACTGACTGCAATGTCCTCCTGCTTGACCCGTGCCCTTGACATTATCAAACCTCCTAACATTCTGGTAAGTGTGCCAAAAACCGAGTCGGCATATTATTGTAAATGCATATGGCAATTGAGACACAGAGAATCTTAAACTGGAACGATTTCTTCATTCTGCATATATGTATAAATAAGTGATTTACTTGCAGCTGTCAAGATTGGCATTTGTTTGCACTCTAGTTTTGTTTATTAATCAACATTGTCTTACATTAGACCGAGAAAGAAGAGCAGAAGCAACAGGCTGTGATGGCATATCTCAAGAATTCCAAAAAGGAGCACCTGCGGATCCTAGGGCGGCGACAGACTATCGAAGAGCGCAAGGAACGCCTGGAGAGCTTGAACGTGGCCCGGGAGCGCAAGGAGCAGGAGCAACGCGAGGCGGTGTTGCAGAAGATACGGCAGGAGGAAGAGGAGCGACTCAAGAAGGAAGCGCGTGAACGAGAGAACCAGCGCATAATGCAGGAGCACGAGAGCATCAAGCGCAAACATGTTCGGGAGCGTCTGGAGCAGATCAAGAAGACTGAACTTGGAGCCAAAGCCCTCAAAGACCTTGATATTGAGGTGCGTGTGTGTGCAATGAATTTGAATAATCACTTGTGTATGTCGATTTTGTAGTACTCTGTAAGTCTGCAGTTTACATTATCGGCTGTTTCTTATAAAATGTTAATGTGTTATCCCTATGCTTTTGTTCAGAATCTTGATGAACTTGATCCTGACTTCATTATGGCCAAGCAAGTTGAGCAGCTTGAAAAGGAAAAGAAAGAGCTTCAAGAGCGTTTGAAAAACCAGGAGAAAAAGGTACAGTTAATCGAAGGCAACTAAATCTGATGTTTTTTTTGTTAATTTAACACGTAAGTTGTTCGTTCATGTCAGGCTCACTATTTGTACATTATAATTAATTTCTTTCCCTGATTAGATTGACTATTTTGAGAGAGCCAAACGTGTCGAGGAGGTTCCATTGCTGAAGAAGGCTTTTGAAGAGCAGCGCATTAAGGACATGGAGTTCTGGGAGCAGCAAGAAGATGAGAGGGTGAATATATGAGTTTTTAATTTGTTATTGCCGAATTAAAAATGTTGCTCATGTGAATACACAATCTAAATAATGATGTTTATTTTTTAAGATTTCAACTGTGAAATTGGAGCGAGAAAAGGCGCTGGAGAACAAGAACAGGATGATTCGCATGCAAGAGGACAAGGATTCATTCTTGTCAGGCTTGAAATCCTCACGCCGTGCCATCTACTTGGTATGCACTATACATGCTTTTGTCAGCTGATGTAAATGTGAAACCGTGCCTAAATACACTGGCAAATGCCAACTATGATATCATTTGTTTTGGAGTTGCATTATGTTTTAAACATATGAGTTGGCGGTAAAAGCCTGTTTTGAAGTGGAGAGAAAATTCAGGCATTACATTTCTGACTAATTTATTTTGTTCATACTCCAGGCCAAATTTAAGGTGTTTGAAGAGCGCATGGAAGAAGAGCGGACAAAACGCCTTGCTGAACGAAAAGTGCAAAGGAAGGAAGATCGCAGACTCAAATTTCACCGAGAAAGAGAAGAAGAAGCACAGAGAATTCACGATGAGCAACTTAAAAAAGGTGTCCGTTTTGCTCTGCACTCGGAGGGGGCAGCATCTCGGCATGTCGTCGTTCATGAAATGTAATTAATTATTTGAAATGAGAACTGGCTTGGGCTTACATATTAAAACAAAGCAAAACTTTAATTTTTCACGTGGACATTTTTGCAGAGCGAGATGAGGCAGAAAGGATTGAGCGTGAGAAGCGCGAGGAAGAGGAGCGCGAGTACCAAGAGCAGATTCAAAAACTGGAGGAGCAAGCGAGAAAGCGGAGACAGAAAGAATTAGAAATCGAAGAGCGGGAGCGGAAACGAGAGATGGGAGAATCAAAACGGGTACCCGTGAGTTTTTAAATAATTACAAGCAACATGAATCCTTTTATGGAAGAGACGAGCTTTAAGAGCTTTAACGTGTTTGTTTTTCATGTGCAGGATGGAGATGGAGGTCGATGGGGTGAGAGAGATTCGGAATGGCGACGTGATATTCCTGCAGACCGTGATGATTTACCCAAGCGTCCAGTTGATGATGGGTCAGTAAGCTCTTACTAAATATATCATTCTAAATAGAAGGCACTAGGCATTTTGGTGATGGTTATGTGGGAATGTGATGAAGTTAGAACAATATTTTGTTGCTTTTATTTAAAACGAGCTTCATAAGATATAATCTCAACTTAGTAGTTTCTCTTATTTTTGTGAAAAATATACAGTTGCATAGCGGAATGATTTCACTTATTATTGGTCCTGTGTACAGTGAGAGGGATTGGCGTCCCCGTGGTGGCGACGATGACCGTTCATTCCGCCGCCGGGACGAAGAACGCATGCCCCCTCGGCGAGATTTTGAGAAGCCGATAAGGCGCGATCTGGAAGATAGGTCTATGAGGCGTGATGCCGATGAAAAACCGCCACTGCCCCTTCGTCGTGATGGTGAGGACAAGCCACCAGCTCGCTGGGGCCGCAACGATGATGAGCGCCCCGCTCCGTCATCGCGTTGGGAGGATGAGAAGCCAGCGCCGCGTCGTGTCGAGTCTCCGTTCCGCCAGGACGAAGAGAGGGCACCACGAGGATGGAATGAGGATGCCAAGGGTGAATCTGATAAACCTCTCTCTGCCTGGAAACCTGCTGTCAAGCCGGGTGAGGACTTTTTCCTGATGGCAACATTTTGTGAATTATTAGTATTGATAAGATGTGATTTGTATTTTGGGGGGTATGTTCTTTAGTATTTATACAAATTGTAACGAGCAGCAACCCAAATTGTAATGCACCTTAATGGCAGAGGTGTATACATTTCTGTTTGTCCTTGCATTGGCCAGGTGGGTGGCGTGACCGTGAGAAAGCGCGTGATGAGGTGTGGAAGCCCCCTCGCGAGGGGTCACAGTCGGCGGATGGTGATGGAGAAGAACCGGCTGAACGCGAAGAGGGCGAGGAAGACAAATTCGGTGACCATGAAGCAAAAACCAAGGACCGCGATCACTTTGCGGACCGCGAACAAGCACCGCCCGAACGTGCACCCGAACGTGCCCCCGAACGTGCCCCCGAACGAGCCCCCGAACGAGCCCCCGAACGTGCGCCAGAACGAGCCCCAGAACGTGTGCCCGAACGTGCGCTCGAACGAGCCCCCGAACGAGCCCCAGAACGAGCCCCAGAACGTGCCCCAGAACGTGCCCCAGAACGTGCCCCAGAACGTGCCCCAGAACGAGCCCCAGAACGAGCCCCAGAACGAGCCCCAGAACGAGCGCCAGAACGAGACCGCTTTGGGGACCGAGATCGCTTTGGGGACCGCGACCGCTTCGGGGACCGCGACCGCTTCGGGGACCGCGACCGCTTCGGGGACCGCGACCGCTTTGGCGACAGAGACCGCTTTGGCGACAGAGACCGCTTTGGCGACAGAGACCGCCGTCCACCAAGGTATGCATTTTCATTTCCATATTGGTGACTAGTTGTGTACCCGTTGTTTTTTCCACTTAGCTCACTTATAGTATAGCAACTCATAGTGCGCATCTTAATAAAATGGTATTCATATTATGTTTAGCTTCGCAATGTAGCTGCATCGGTTATTAAATGTGAGTTTACAAGTCATGATTTATTTCAAGTAACAACATGATTAGATCACCAGCACTCAGCCATGGCAGGTTTTGAAAGCTTTTATTTTTTCATCTGCTGTGATTTAGCAATCATTGGTTGCCTGCAGGTAGGGAATGTGGTGGTGGTTAGCAATTTGGTGTTGGTGTGCTGTGACAGCCTTATTACCCAGCTCCAGATCACATTCCAGTAATTAATCCGAGCTGCTGCTAATGAGACTCTCATTTGCTTGTCCTGGCTTGTGATGCACTTCCTTTGCATTGCAATCATTGGACCTCATTGAGGGAAGGTATTTTTCAAGATGTGGTACAATTGCACTTGGGGTGATTTATATTTTAAAATACTGATGAACATTCGGACGATCCAATGAACATACTCTCTGTAATAGTTGCAGTCGCAATATGTTTTTATAGCACTTTGAAAAATGCTTTTTTAGTACCCTGGCCAAGCCAAATGTACTGCATAAACTAGTTTTTTATCCCCATTTGACTGTAGGATTTAGCAAAACGTGTCATTATATTATAGAAAATTTGTATCTTTGTTTAAGCAAATTCATATTTAACCAACTTTGCATAGATGAACATGCTGCATAAGTATTGTATGGCATTGATACCCATCACATTACACTGATTGCTTAAATGTTTTCTTAATTAATGGCCATGACTTGTCCATATTTTTTCTCCCTGGTTTCTGTTCTGTTTTTACATTTTACATTTCATGTACATTATGAAACATGAAGGAAATGTTGTAAGCTCTACATGCGGCTGCTTAATTTTGTGCCAGCTTACATAAAATATCAACTCGTTTGTCCTATGGGGGTTGTTTGAAAACTCTCAAACTCGGTCAACCTTGAAAGCTGCACTGATGGGAGATAAGGGAAAATAAATACTTGGACAGTCAATTGATAAAACCCACATGTTATGCTCTGCTTGTCCAACCAAGCTAAATAAGGTCACTTTAGCTCTATCTTATGAATTTGATAAGATAGTTGAAACCTTCAAACTTATCTTTGTGTTAAGGCTTTTACAGAAACGATTACACAATTATATAAACATAAATCTTGCATTTGTACGTAAGACATGCCGTGCCATCTTGGGATCTTTGCGGGAAATGTCAACTTTGCATGAACAAACTATGACTTACTGATGATGATGACTAATACTTCACTTTAATGTCTTGTGATTAAAATATACAGAGAGGAAGGAGGAGGAAGTGTATGGCGGAGGCCTGGTACAGAGGATTCTCAGGCTTCCGCCGGTTGGAGGGACCTTCCAAAGCGTGACGATGGTGAGAGAGATCGAGATATTCCACGTCGGGAGCCACTTGACAGGGAGAGGCGTGGCCCACCACCAGTCCGAGGGGGAGACTGGGAAGACCAAAGGGGTGCACCGCCACCCAGAGCAGATCGCGATGAAGGTGAGCAGAACCATAAAATATTGTTGGCATTTGGTGGTATTCGTACATAAGCTTTGGAATCACCTTTGAGAATGGTGTGTGTACATGGCTGCCCTTTGATATACAATACTTGGTCAGAAGTGTCGAATTTCATGCTTAATTCCAAAATTGGCACTAGGAATGCAGAGTACATATGACATTTAAATTTAATGCCAACTAACACCCAAAGCATTTTAGCAGTACAGTTTCAATTGGCTTGACCAGAAACACAAATGCGGGTGGTGAAACAGTGGTCGTGTGATCCTCGGGCCCGTGAGAGGCCATTCGGTAATAAACTCCTTTAAAAAGTTTTTTTAAACGGTTTTATTTTAAAGTACACTAAAAAGTAAATAACTCGATTGGACAATGGGAAGTGGATGACATCTTGATGACAAGAAACATGCGGGGCTTGCTTTTTATGCGAACCGATTCCACACTTTAGGGACCACGGCGTTTTTCACCTACACAAAAATATATAATTAATTGATGAATTGATGCCGATTTTAATACAGGCGTGCATTGTCACCGGATCTGAGTACGTGTGCAAAATTTGGAATTGATTGGACAACAGAAAGTAGACTAACTTTTGATTTCAAGATTTGACCGACACAGGAGTCAAGTTAAGTAAAACCGTTGAAAAAAGTGTATTTGTTTCTTTTGTAACTCAGTATTTTCATACAATACAATGTTACATTGAAATAATATAAAAGCTAGTTAATGCCTACCTCTAAAGGTAGTTTTTCGACAAAACAGGATATATCTAATTTAATAATGATTTTTTATTAATGTTGCATTTTATTACCTAAAAGTAGATTTTCTCACTTGGTGTCAAAATGGGTTGCTTAAATTACTCAAATGCTAAAACATCTTTTGTGGCGTTAATAAACACCATTGTTGTGTAATCATATACTTTTTGATACAATGCAATTTGTATGATCATATGAGGGTCTTGGATCCAAATAATGGGTCAAATATATTGTTACCTGCTCCATAGCACTCCTTCCCCTGTAACCCACTTCTCACGTCTTCATGTTTCAAGGCGTGTGGCGGCGATCCGAAGACCGACGTGAAGACGGGGATAGGGATGCCCCCCGCCGAGCGCCTTTCGTGGGCCGAGATGGTGACCGGGATCGTGAGCGCGTTGAAAGGGAGAAGCCTGCACCACGCAAAGAGCTTCGCGAGGTTCCGGCCTCTGCTGCTCCTGCAGCTGCTGCTGCTGCACCTCCGAAGCGCCCAGTCCGCAATGAGACGGATGACGATGGCTGGACAACTGTCCGCCGCTAAAGCCACATTTCCACACAACCGTATAATTGGTTTTGGTTTTGAGTTGTGAGATTTCTTTATCCAAAGCATGCACAGAAATGTTTTTGGACAACGTCCAATGTAATACTAAATTCCAAAATTGGCCCCATACACTTCAAAAAAGATTACATTGTTTTGTTTAAAATCTGTTGTTTTTCTGAATTTGATAGAAGCAAATTATTGCAGCCTCAGAATTAATCAAATGGAGTATATGCTTTGCTTGTGAAAGGCACAAAATGCATAAATATAAAATCTGCATGCACCTCAACAGTGTGATTTGTGTTCTTGCCATGCAATTATATCAGGCTGCCTATCCATTGTGATTATAGGCTTCATTTTAGATATTTATTCAAACTGAAGCTTTTGAAAATGTAACAAGATATAGCTGTGTGTACAGGATTTTAGACTGATAAAATGGCTTAAGTTTGAAAATAGTACCATTCATTCTGGGGATTGACTATTGAAAAGCTGGTCAAACAGGATAAAACCTGACCCTTAACCCAATGTCTTTCAATTTTAAGCTTAACATTTTCCTCAAGCATAAGTAGCGTATCAACCATTTGTTAGAATTGCAGATTATCATGTTGAAGTATGGCTTTATTATTTTTGAGTAATTAAAGCCAAATTAAATTTAAGATTGGAAAATTAGCTTGCAAGGTTAAATGTATTCAATATTATGTGCATTTAACAATTATAATCTTTGCCCTGTTGTCATTTCTGATGCATTAAGTTAAAATGTATTCTCGTGGAAAACTTGACTTTGTTGGTTATAAACACAGTCGTGTGGATTGGAAGCCCAGAGCATTTTCATGATTTACTCTCCTTAGTTGTGTGGAAGTTTAATACTAAAACCAATAAAAACAAAGGTCTTGAGCAATAGCCTTTAGTGTTTTCATTTTTCTGTTGTGCTGCAGCTTCACAGTGTGAATATATCCTCATCGTGGGATAAAAGACGACTGATTATTCTATGGATCGAGTTAATGTACTCTGGCTCAAGTTTACATAACACTCGTGGGTTATTTTCCAAATCACATGCTTATCTGGTTTTGTGGCTCTCTGTTTCATATCAAGACTTTCCGACATTTAGCAGACAGGTGTGCCTTTCTTAATAGATGGGAAGATGTGGTTTGTTAGGCATGAGAGTTGCCAAATCTTCAAGCCCTAGTGTGCCTGCATTGGCCTAGTTAAAATTGTATGAAATTGGTGTGTGTGGACCAATACATTGCATAATGCTAACGCTTCCCACATTTGGAAAGGCCTAATTTCCTTAGTAACCAATATCTTGCAGGTTAACAGCTTGAGTTTACATTAAGTAAACATCCCAAGTTGAGATCGCAGTTATATTGCAATTTCATAATTTCCAAAAATTAGTATGGCCAAATTGCTGTTTGAGATGCATTAATCCAAGTTGTTTTTAGTGTTTGTACATTTGTCAATTCCATATGCTGCCAACTATAGTCATCTGATTTGTCATGGTGAAAATATGTTAATTACCAGCCACAGAATATTGTACAATGTGGCTGGTAATGTGGCCAATTTCAGTACTGTATGCGGAATCCTATTAAGATGCGCTTCTGCGACTGCCTGGAACGCTCTTCCGATATTAGGAAGCCACTTGAGCTATGCGTTTTTAAATCTCGGTTGAAGACTCATTTCCTTGTAAATGCTTTCTTGTCCACCTGAACGTCTTGTACGTTGCGAAAGAAGTTCATTAGATACACGACTTTCATTTAGTTACCTTGAAGATTGTGATTTGCTTAAACAATTTAGGAGTAACTTTTTTAGAGTACATCACAGCTGGCAAATTGCATAAAGCAAAACATGAGCATTTGCAGTGGTGCACATGCACAACTAATATACCATGACTTTAAATGATACGTTGTATGGATAATTATTTTCACTGTAAACATGCAATGTCCAATAAACAACATTACATTCATCACTTTAAAAGGGCCTTCTGTTTAACTTCTTTAAATTCATGTAGTGCTCGAGTTAAACTACATTATTTGAGATGGGAAGCATTGAGTTGTGCCAAGTATCGAAGCCATCCTTGCTGCCATTCGGCGAAGGTGGGCTGGCATGTTCAAATGCATGACACTGCTGAAAGCAGTCTTGTATGGAGAGCTGTCCCAAGGAAAATGCCATGGAGGACAGGGTGCTACAGCTTGGCGGATGTACTCAAGCGACATCTGAAAGTTACACATTTCTGTGGACAAATGGGATAGGCTGGCCTTGCACTTGTGTGCCAAGCATCGACAAATACCCCAGAAATATTTGAGATTACAATTCCGAGAAAATATCTACCCACCTAAAATTACGCGTAGTTTACTCAACATCCATTAAATAAGTCACACTTACGTTGTATAAACATGTTTATTAAGCAAAGTGTATATGTACTTTTTAGTACTTCATCGTCATACAAGATGCCGGTATAAGGTATTTCACATTCTGCGCCGCAGTCTAAATTCTTTTACTCAAAGCACTGGCAATACCTCAAATGTGCGATTTACAATTGAAATCAAAAACACACTTTTACTTTTGTTAATTACTGCAATACCAATAAATCAACATGGACCGATCAATAAACTCAAATATAAACAGCAAATAGATACATTTTTTTAAATTCCATTCAGTATTTGAAATATTTACATTGTCATTTAGGCTACTTTAGTATTATGCATTTTAACATTTAAATTACAGCTACAAATCATCACATACAAAAACATCAAAAACCTATAAAAAGCTTCCGTAAAGGCAGTGTAACAGTAATCAGTCAATGAAATCTATTTTTTATTTATTAATAAAATATTCTGATCATTTGCACCAGCATAGAAGGCCTTTACAAACCTCCAATATTGATGAAAATATTTCAAAATACACCATTTATATCATATATTCTTTGGTCAATAACAAAAATACAGTAAACAAAAATTGCTACATTCATTGGAAAAAGCATACAATTTCATATACAGTGCTGAACTCACTGGGGAATTTGTGGCTTCAGGCAACGGGGTTACACTGGGTCCCATTTGTAGCAGGGCTTGTAATGCCTATTGCGCGACACTGAAACCATAGTGCTTCAGGGACTTAAGATCGTACATAAATCTAAACACAAGGCCATTTACAGCCTTGTTCAAGTTTGCAAACGTACCAATGTACTTTAGCAAAAATACACTTTAATTTTTTTAGACACCAGCTACATGGGTACATTTGTTTTAAATTAAACAGTGCTTGAAAGGTGTAGGTCATTAAAATGTAAATTTTCCAATATATAAATGCTATATATAAAAGGTTATTTTTTTCTTTTAATGTACTTTCAATTTTACTTCTATGCAATATTTGGAACAATTTTTTTGTAATTTAAATGCAGACCTTGTGTAATATTCAGAAAATAAATTGATAACAGTAAATATTTGTTTCCCTTTCATATGTAATACTGGGGGTTTTATGCAGGTTAAATTATAAGCACCCCACAAAATACTACGCAAATTTGTTTGATCACTAAACACTTTAAGTTAAAAACATTGTAAAATTATATTTTACAAACGGAGCATTTTAGATTGTGGCAAAATAAGGTACATTCTATTGGCATATTAATGGTATAGTTAAACCCAAATTCTTCAGTAGCAAACGTGATACAGCACAAAATTCATTAAAATGCATAACGTATGAAGTTTAAAAGTGTAACGCACCAAGAAATCCAGGAATTAGTATTAAACAAATACAAGGGCAGCTTAACACAACAGTCCCTTCTGGCGGGCCATATATGTAAAACAGTTTTCAAACAGCAAATATTACTATTACATATAGTACAAGGTACATCAAGGTGTAACTACTGCAGAATACTTATCCAGGCCAGGAATACAAAAAAACATCACCAGCACTTTTAATGTGCCATAATTAAATTTTCATTGGCTGATTTTAATAGGAATTGTGCAACATGGAGGCTATGCGTACTAGGGGAAATGAAGAAGCTAAAGAAATTTACAACCGTTATAAATCAGAGAAATAACCCTACATCATTTAAGGTTCTAATTTAAAAAGTGTTCAGAATTAAATAAAACATTCTACAATTATTCCATATTGATCAGACAATGCTTTTAAGCGCTATTTCTGAATTGTAATTTCCATTTAATTGTCAAGTGCAGTGTGTGGTCTTTTGTGACCTTAATTCTAACAGCACAATTACATCTCATAACTTTAAAGTAGATGACGTTTGTTCAGTAATCAACAATATATTTAGGAGACAATTGTATTGTGACTACTTCCGTGACTATAATGTATATAAAGCAGCAAGAGTAATTCCCCTGTTATTGACCATTTTGAACACAAAATGTTCCCTTTTAGGAGAACAAATGTTGTGTAATGCCCTTTACATATAAACACTGAATTTCTAGTAGTTATCCAATCGAATTGGCATCTAATAAAATGCGTCAAATATTGACTTGTGTCTGAAATTGACTTTGTTTTACCTAGTTTTGGAGTTGGAATGTTTTGAATAAGTGCCAGCAAGATACAAAATAAGGGGCAGACACATGGGGCTTTTTGGTTGGTATTAGGGGACAGGGGACAAGGGCAGAAACAAGATTTCAAGCAGTGAGTGAAATCACCCTCCAGGCCCCACCCCGATCCACCTCTACCAATTAAGGTTGCACAACTCATGATATTTGACTGAATGTGAAGAGAACATGGTAAGAAAAAACTGTATTATGCTATGCCTGATACTTGAAACCATGCTGAGATGGAATATAGAAATTGCTTAACCAGCTGATTCGTTTTTTTCCCACAAGATATGTCCAAACGTGCAGAAAATTGGAGTGTGGGATAATGGAGACCTACCTTTGCTTGGGCAAAGTGCAACTTTTTCAAATGGAACAGTCATTGACCCAACTATAGTTTAAACGTGTGTGTCATATCCATTTAACAATACTTTTTTTTCAACGTGCATTGGCCCCTGTTTAATTTGTGGGAAAGTGCCATTTTAAACGAGGGCAATCAGTGGGCCTCGAAATGAGCTCTGAAATGTTTTATTCCCTCAGGTGAAAGGGCTATCCCTTCCACCGAGCCTTGACACGAAGATTGACAGGGATACTCAATCTTTCCTACCCAGTGTACCAATTGAACATGCGTTTCTCTCTGTCATGAGGATCCTTGCTTCACAACCATGGTACTTGTTTAATAAAGTTGTATATTAAAGCACACAAAATAATGTTAATACATTGGTGAGTATGTATTGCTTAAATGTGATTAATGTACAATGTTTGCGTTTCAGCATAAGGTAAAATGAAAATGAGAAATTAAGTTGAAATATGACCAGCAGTACTGTCAATTTAGTGCTTTGTCCAAAATCGTTTGATCACGAGAAATGAAAAAGTAGCTGATATAAAAAAATGCAGAACTGAAAATAATATGATAGTGTATGAAACAACGGCAAACACAATGCCCAGCCAGAGCCTATGATTAACCAAATACCACAACCAAATTAAGCGACTGTTAAATAGCCATAATGAAATGCACCAAGTACTCCTTTGGAGATATACTGCACATTAATCAGTCCCTCTGAAAGAAGGACAAGATTGTACCAATAATAATATGAATAGACCTACTGCGTTAGGATCAGTGGCAAAACACTCCAGAACTAGGCACATGTTGGTCCATGTTCGCACGGCAACTCGTGAAGTGATTTCTCTAGCTCCCCCATTCACGCCCTTCACAAAACGCGAATGCAGTTTCCACGTGGCAGATATTAACTGCCTTCCATATTTGATGTGGTGGCATCCACAGTCAACATTAGTGTAAGTATTATATATTTTTTTTACAAATTAAAACAACAATATTATGCAGCGTACCAGGACTTCGATGGGTGTGGGGTGGATGGACGGGGACTGGATAATTACCGGGAAGTATTTGCCGCTGCATTTGGGTTAATTAATTTCCACGAAAATTAAATTTCTACTTTTTTTCGTATCAAATCCCCATAATTTGTACTCGTTATCGTGGTCATCACTGTCATCGCTGTCATCGTCGTCGTCGTCACAGAACATCATCATTACGCTACCACCACCAATCATCAAACCCACCCAAACCATCACTGGTCATCATCATGACCCAATCCCCATCAGATAATCCTGCGCCTCGCTTGCAGTGCTGGGGCTCCGGCGGTTGGGGTCGCCGTCACAGCGGCAGCGGCAGCAGCCGCCGCAGCCGCAGCAGCCGCAGCTGCGCGCAGCTTGCGTGGTGGTGGCGGGTCCCCACGAGCGTCCCGGGACAGGGGGCAATACTTGATGGTGTGAGCCCGGTCGCCGTTCACGCCGCACAGCGGGCACGTGTAGGCGCGCAGGCGCGGGCACAGCACGCGGCCGTCGGGCGCCTTGAGCACGTGGCCCGCGTACACCGCCTCCGCCTCGCCGTTGTTGCGGCAGAAGACGCACACGCGTGGCGGCTCCGCGCATTTACCACGGACCTGCGGGTGGGAAGGGGGTGGGAAGACGGCCATCCACGACGATAATATTAATAACTAGCCTTTTGCCCGTCCAAGGACGACGGGTGTATTGCAGTAAATCTGGAGCTTGCAAGCGAAAAGCAGACCGCGACGTGATATTCATTGCATCGATTCGTGTGCAATTTGTAAGGGCGCGGTGACAGAGACTTATTTCATTTATAAAGGTTATAATCCCTTGTTCATCGTGACGTCCTTTTTACTTCGATGTCTCAACAGCGTTACTGAGATCGCGTGACGTGAGGGTTCTGCCTTTGTAGTGAGGGTTGTCAGTTGACACCGAGGAGGGGGGGGGAGCCCCCCCATGTGGAGTGACGTCAGCCGCTAATTATTATTAATGTTGGGGGGGGGTGTCCATTGGGAAGACGTCACCTCTTCATGATTATTAATGTGGGGGGCTGTTCGATGTGGAGTGACGTCACCTGCTCATGATTATTAATGAGGGGGGGGTGCTACATGTGGAGGACGTCACCTGTTCATGATTATTATTGTGAGGGGCTGGTTCATCATTATCGTAGTAAATGTTGTCGAGTTGTACTTCTGCGCTGCATAAACGTTTTGTTTCTGCGTTTGTGCTGTCACGAGATGCCCTGAGAACCAACGTGGTTGCAGGCTGCAGGTTAAGAACCACTGTCCTATGATGCACGTGGCTTTGGGTTGCGCAGCGTGCTGTTTGGAATTATTTGCGACCAAGGAGACTTGTGTTGCCTCCGAGACGTCGTGATTTAATTTAGTTATTATTTTATAATTTTTTTACCTACGTGACTTTACCAAAAAAAACTTAAAAGAGTATGGACCAAGGATTAATTTCAGAAATGCAGCCGCAGATGTCCGCAGCTGAGCTCCGGAATACATTCACCCCTCCCCCGCCTTCCCAGGCGCGCACGGAAGGGGTTGGGAGGGGGGCCTGGCAGATATTTAAATTAAGCCGTGTCCGACGTTTCGAGAAACTTCTGACATGATGTTGGGCGTGTTTCCCAGTTATATTATTGTTATTATTTATATGTAGCGACGTTAGAATTGTAGCGATGAAAATAGACAAAGTATGGAAAACACCGTGTTAAAAAGGTCTATGTTTGAACCGCATTTTAACATGGCATGGAAGAGGTGGTGTTATTTAATACGCACCTAATTTACCCCCTACAGGGTGTCGAAGTGGTTAACAATATAATCATTTAATTGTATAAAGCGCCCTTATAGCACACTGAATTATATGAACTGGGCTATAAAATATCGATTCCCGATCACGGCTAATTTCAGTAACGAATTATAACATATGGATACGTCTCCCGCCATCCCTCTTCACCAAACAACCGACATGGCGTGGTGTGGCGTTCAATACAGCAGTGGCTTCACAATAGGAATGAATGCCCCACTTAACAATGCGAGTGCTGGTTAGCCCATGCCTACGTGACCCGTAACGTTCATCGTTCTCGCGTACGCAGCACGCAACTTGCACACGGCATCACCACTATACGACATCATCACTATCACCACTACACGACATCACCACCACTACCATCACCACCACCACCACACGACATCACCACCACTACCACCACCACCACACGACATCGCCACTACGCAGCACAAAAGCGCTTCGTGGTTCACGGAGTGAAACTGGCTGCGAAATGGATCGACAGTAACGGTGACATCACCGGTTCACCCAGACACAATCGAGTGCCGTATGTGCATGCTCAAACATGAGTTACGAATTAAAATCGCCTAACAACCATGCCAACAAGCAACTGCATAAAAGTTATACCAAATACAGCACGAGGTATTGGATCACTGGATTTTTTTTTAATATTCTAAACCTTAACTGGATTCTGTCGCCTACCAACATGCACAAACATATTGTGCAATCCACTGCTGAATCAAGACCTCATTCAGTGCGGGGTCATGGGGGTTACTTGACCATACTTCACCACCCTGGCTCGTGTACGTATCAAGGATTGCGTCGCACCGAGATAATTAGCACCCAGTCATATTAGACACGCTTGAGGCATGCCACAACACATTCAACAGTCTCGACAAAATGTCAAATGTGTAGTCGAGCTTGCCCTGCCGCATAGCAGGCATTTCAATGGCCGGAAGAGTTCGCAGCTGCCAATGTTTACGTAATGGAAACAAAAAAAAACCCGGTGCAGACAATTACAGGGAAATATTCCGTGCTCATCAAAGACACGTAATTGCGCTTGGATTAAAAACAACAAAAATAACTTTATGTCAACGCAGCAGGCATCATACGGGTTACAACCTCCATTGTCTAATTGGTTACCCGTGCTAATTTGCGCACGGAATGCAAACACCTGTTCACGCGACCCAACAAAAGATGGCTTTAAAAACTGCGTTTGTCCTGCCTCAATTAATTATCACAGCCTCATTGATGAGTGTCCGTGCCGAGGTGTAATTGTTTTAAATAATTCCCCCGTCTCCCAAAAAAAAACTAAATCTGCGGTGGATTAACTTATCGTTTGCTCCATTGACATAAATCATCACTAAGTAAGCGTCGTCATTTCGTGAAGGAAGAGACAATGGGGGGAGGCGGTGGTGCCTATTAGGCAAGTGCGCCACACAAAGGAGCGCTCCGCTTGCCTTCTTCCTTCAAACGCTCCACAAAACGCAATCGTCTCTTTCGCATCGCCCTCGTCCCGAAACACGACACGCGTTTCATGTCCATGAAGACGCTGCCGAGCAAATCCCAATCGTCAACAATTCCTCTAGCCGGGAAGGCGCATTCGAACGGATGACGAGAGCATTGATGAATTCCGCCGTGGAAACACACAACGCGCAACTCGTGTGCGTGCGGAACAGACTGAATGACGTTACGAGAATATTGAAGACAATGAGATGTGCTGTATAGATCATTGATGATCACACTGCGCGCCATGCACATCCTCAACCCCGCGGCTATGGCAGCCCAGGCTTTAATGTGTGCATGTGCGCATGTTGTTTACTGCACGCAATCGCGCACGCACGACATGTTTACCTTTCGGTTCCTCCGCTCCGCTTCGAAGAAGGGCGACGGGAACGATTCGGGTTCCGAGTCGACAAACCAAGGATCCTGGTCCCCTATGGTTCCGATCCGTCCTCCTCCACCACCACCACCTCCTCCACCTCCTCCACCACCAGCGCCGCCAAAGAGGCTCAGCACCGAGAATCTCTCCTCGAGCTCAGCCATGAAGGCGACCCTGTCCTCGCTGACCCCTCCTTCCTCCAGCTCCTCGCGGGGACTCGAGTGCGGCGGAGATTCGGAATAGCAGCTGCTGCCCAGGCTGTCCGAGTCGGCGCCGCGGTGGGGTGGCAGCTCCAGCCCCGAGCTCGGGGGTCCCAGGGCGCTCAAACCCAGCGGGGAGCCGCGCATGGCGATGGGGGCCCCGCGACGCTCGTGCGGCGGCGGCGGGTACGAGGCGCCGTGGTGCCCCGCGCCGATGACTGCGGCGACGGGCAGCGGGGAGCTGGCAGGGAGGTCGAGCCCCAGGGTGGCTCGAAGAGCCTCGCAGATGGACGGCGGGGCTGGCTCCGGTGTCGCCACCACCTTCTCCTTCTTGGTGACCAGCGTGCTGAGTCCCAGGTAGTCGTTCCACGAGTTGAAGGTGTGCTCGTACGACTCGCGTAGGTAATTGCAATTTAAATAGTCCATATTGGCGTGCATTTAAGTGGTCGCACTAATTTTTTCACGGCGCGGGATTGACTAAATCTCGTTTTGCGCGTGGACGTGGCCACGAATGTGATTGACGGCGTTGATGTTGATTGCAAATGACAACAATGATGATGACGACGACGACGAGGAAAAAACGAAGAAGATGGCAGTCGGTGGACACCTCTCAACAGGTTCTCTCGCTCGCTCTCTCTCTCTCTCGCGTTTATTGTTGATTCGGCTTTTCCATGTCGCACAACGCGCTGGAAATGTCTGCTCTTTATTGCATGCGAGGGAGGCGAGGCGCACGCTTTTATGGTTGTGTTCGGGGGCGGTGGGCGGGAGCTCGCAGGCGAAGAAGGATGCCCGCTCCTCTCCCCGCTTCCATTGGTGCGCGCCGCGCGCTCCCAGTGCGCTGATGTCAACGGGAGGCGCGCCTTGGTTACTCCGCGTGACACGCGCACCCCGCACACGACTCACTACTCACTACTCACGCACACTACTCACTACTCACGCACACTACTCAACTCACTACTCACGCACACTACTCACTACTCACGCACACTACTCACTACTCACTCACACTACTCACTCACGCACACTACTCACTACTCACTCACACTACTCACGCTCACTACTCACGCACACTACTCAACTCACTACTCACGCACACTACTCACTACTCACGCACACCCCACTCTACTCACGCACACTACTCACTACTCACTCACACTACTCAACTCACTACTCACGCACACCCCACTCTACTCACGCACACTACTCACTACTCACGCACACTACTCACTACTCACTCACACTACTCAACTCACTACTCACGCACACCCCACACTACTCACGCACACTACTCACTACTCACGCACACCCCACACTACTCACGCACACTACTCACTACTCACGCACACTACTCACGCACACTACTCACTACTCACGCACACTACTCAACTCACGCACACTACTCACGCACACTACACACTACTCTACTCACGCACACTACTCACTACTCACGCACACCCCACTCTACTCACGCACACTACTCACGCACACTACTCACGCACACTACTCACTACTCACGCACTACTCTCTACTCACACTACTCACTACTCACGCACACCCCACACTACTCACGAACTCTACTCACGCACACTACTCACGCACACTACTCACTACTCACGCACTACTCTCTACTCACACTACTCACTACTCACGCACACCCCACACTACTCACGCACACTACTCACGCACACTACTCACTACTCACGCACTACTCACTACTCACGCACACTACTCACTACTCACGCACACTACTCACTACTCACGCACACTACTCACGCACATTACTCAACTCACACTACTCACGCACACTACTCACTACTCACGCACACTACTCACTACTCACGCACACTACTCACGCACACTACTCACGCACACTACTCAACTCACACTACTCACGCACACTACTCACTACTCACGCACACTACTCAACTCACACTACTCACGCACACTACTCACTACTCACGCACACTACTCACGCACACTACTCAACTCACACTACTCACGCACACTACTCAACTCACACTACTCACGCACACTACTCACTACTCACGCACACTACTCACTACTCACGAACACTACTCAACTCGCTACTCACGCACACTACTCACTACTCACGCACTCCACACAACTCACGCTACCCCCCACAACTCACGCACCCCCCACAACTCACGCACCCCCTACAACTCACGCACTCCACACAACTCACGCACCCCCCACAACTCACGCACCCCCCACAACTCACGCACTCCACACAACTCACGCACCCCCCACAACTCACGCACCCCCCACAACTCACGCACTCCACACAACTCACGCTACCCCCCACAACTCACGCACTCCACACAACTCACGCACCCCCCACAACTCACGCACACCCCACTACTCACGCACACCCACAACTCACGCACCATCCCCACAACTCACGCACACCCACAACTCACGCACACCCACAACTCACGCACTCCACACAACTCACGCACCCCCCACAACTCACGCACACCCCACTACTCACGCACACCCACAACTCACGCACCATCCCCACAACTCACGCACACCCACAACTCACGCTACCCCCACAACTCACGCACACCCACAACTCACTACTCACGTACCCCCACTACTCACGCACCCCCCACAACTCACGCACCCCCCCACAACTCACGGACCCCCCACAACTCACGCACCCCCCACAACTCACTCACACCCACAACTCGCCCACAACTCACGCACACTACTCACTACTCCCGGACCCCCCACAACTCCCGGACCCCCCACAACTCACGCACCCCCCACAACTCACGCACCCCCCACAACTCACGCACCCCCCACAACTCACGCACAACTCACTACTCACGCACACCGCACACTCCCCATAGCTCACACACACCCACAACTCACGCACACCCCACAACTCACGTACTCCCCGCAACTCACGGACCCCCCACAACTCACGCACCCTCCACAACTCCCCACAACTCACGCACCCCCCACACTCCACACAACTCCCCACAACTCACGCACCCCCCACAACTCACGCACCCCCCACAACTCCCCACAACTCACGCACCCCCCACACACCCCACAACTCACGCACCCCCCACACTCTGCACAACTCACGCACCCCCACAACTCCCCACAACTCACGCACCCCCCACAACTCACGCACCCCCCACAATTACCCACAACTCACGCACCCCCACACTCCACACAACTCGCGCACCCCCACAACTCCACACAACTCACGCACCCCCCACAACTCCTCACAACTCACGCACCCCCCACACTCCACACAACTCACGCCCCCCCACAACTCCCCACAACTCACGCACCCCCCACACACCCCACAACTCACGCACCCCCCACACTCTGCACAACTCACACACCCCCCACAACTCCCCACAACTCACGCACCCCCCACACACGCACTGGCACGCACGACGAGACGAGCGAGCATGCACAGCACGTGGAGGCGTGCATGCACACGGACACGCACGGACGGAGAGAGACGCACTTGGACGACTCACGAGCGCACATTCACAGCAACAACACACTGACACATCTCCCGTGTAGACTGTTGGGGGCAGGCGGTGTTAGCCAGCATCTCACGACGGCCCGCACGGCAAACCACGCTGGGCCGCCTTTGTCTCCCGAGTGCCGATTGTTACACATCGCACCCAGTTACTCAGTTGAGGCTGAGTCGACCTAGGGGTGGGGGGCGGCTAGGACCGGTTCAGAGCATTGTCGCTCGTGGTGGCCGTGAACGATGAATCGAACTAAAGTCGCCGGGTTCGTAGCGCAGCGCGCTAACCGCTACACTATCGCTCCCTACGGACACAAGCACACGGGCACACAAGCACACACACGGACACAAGCACACACACACGCGGACACACACACACACAAGCACACACACACGGACACAAGCACACACACAGACACAAGCACACACACAGACACAAGCACACACAGACACAAGCACACCAACACACACAGACACAAGCACACCAACACATACACACAGACACAAGCACACACACGGACACAAGCACGCACACACAGACACAAGCACACATACACACAGACACAAGCACACACACGGACACACACACAGACACAAGCACACAGACATACACAGACATACACACACAGACACGTTAATGGTAATGTACACAAAGCCATGCGCGCATAGTCCAGATCGACACGCACAGACGGACACAGACAGCTACGGACAGATCGACATGTACGAAGAGACAAGAACTCACAGATGCGTATGGACATCCACATGTAGGAAGACACCGCCACACTCGCACGGACAAACCAGCCGTGCAGTAATAATACTTCGTAAACGCACGGACTGACGTGTCAAAAGACAAGCACAGGACCCGCAAGCCGTCGTATAAGCTGCTACTGTTGCTGTATCCTTTATCGAACCTTTTGTCTCGGTGTAATAAACTCATTGAGACGCATGACACATCACTCGCCACATTTTTACAAGGGCGACCTGGTTTACATCAAGAACACACGGACCAGACGTGCAGGAATCGACGGATACGCGGACGAACGGGCGCACATACACAAGGGAGATATTGCCATGTACGAATGGACAAACACTCACACGCATTGACATATGTGCCACAGATACCCGTGCAGATATGGATAGAGCATGTGCCAATAGACGGGACACTCGCTGGCTATTACGCACGTACGGACGGATTACCATGTACGACAAACAAAAATAAGCACCCATGGACATCAACAGACACGCACGCTCATATGGGCGAACATACGTGCAGGGATGAATAGCCAGACAGACAGATGGACGTGAAGGGATAGACACTCGGGACAAACGAGGACACATGCCCTGACGCACGTACACACACACACACTGACCCACGTTAACCCCTGGGGTTGACGTGCCCATCGTGTGGGCTGCATGCAATGCTCATGCGAGGTCTGCAGGTGGCGAATTGTTTTACTTGAGATTTATTTTTGTAAATCTCCCCAAACTACTCACAATTCTGAAAATAGATCCCCCACAATGCTGCTGTATGTGTACAATTACAGCAAGAGCATGTGCGGTGCAACTTTTTGGACGTGATTTTTGGGAGGAGCATAATGGTCGCTGTCATTTAATATCTTTGTTTCCAAGGTTGTACATTTGATATCTGCTCTGCAATGATTACGACAAAAATATCTGGGAACATTGTGCTGTCGCTGCTGCCCGGTTCCCTTTGTAAGATTACACACTCGCCCCAGAGGACGCTAAAGAAAACATAGCTGTAACGTATAAATTGTAATGTTTACTTAATGAGTAATTCAAACAAAGCATGGAAGTGCTGTGTTGGACGACTCCCATATAGCTTGTGTAATGCGTTTACTGTACCAATGCGTTTTTTTCTAATTTAGGGGCAAATCATTTAATACACTGTACACAATTCTGCAGTGAATATTGTCACGTGTGGAAATTGTCCGTCCTGTCGTATGTTGTTCAGCAGAGCAAATATATATTCTACGCTTGCACAGTATATATGGCAACATGTTCTGGCGTTAAAAGCCAATGCCAAGGTCTGCTGGCCACGAGAGGGCTTTAGGAGAGAATTCTAGATTTGAAGCATTCGTGACTGCAAGGATTCATACTCTTTGATTTTTTCGGTAAAGTCACGTAGGTATAGTTTTACTATACCTATAGTTTACCTACTATACCTACGTTGAAGTGAATACATATAC